GTAACATTATAAATGTCTTTACTGTCACTTTTGAGCAGTTTAATGTGTCCTTGCTGAATAAAAGTATTAATTTAAAGAAAAATCTGATGCCAATTTTACTTAGCCCAAACTTTTGAATGGTAGTGGATATAATGTAATATATGTTATATATTAAGTACAATGCACAAGCGAACAACAGGGTGCAAACAAGGTAGATTTGCTCTCTGGGGAGCAGGTTGATCTTACTTGGTGGGCACACACTGTCATCCAGGGGAGCTCCAGTCTCAGAGTCATCATAATCCTCCTCATTATCCCCGTCTGATTCTTCATCAGAGTCTTCATCGCTGTCATCTTCCTCCTCTGTCACATCACCGCCTGATGGAAGGAGAAACAAAACAAATATTACATTTGAATTAAACTATTACAAACATTTTATTAACTGAAATAAAGCCTCTTAAAAATTAATAATTTTGTAATAACTGCAATCATTAATAAAAATAATAGGAAGAATTATTATCAGACAGTAATAAAAATTGCTTAATTATATTGAAAATAATGGTAAATTGGCAACAACAACAAAAATCCAAGGGTTCAAATACATTTACTTTATGCAAAATATGACTTCTTTTTATTAGTTTTGTGGTGAAATGTGACTTTTAGATAGGTTATGTGAGTTTCACTCAGTGAGATACATAGAACACTTGCAGCTCACCGTCACGTCCATGTGTTTCTTTCTTCTTTGTACCCTTGATCTTTTTCTTAAACACTCTGGTGAGGAATTCCTCAAACTTGTTGTTCTCCCCCAGTGAGGCCTGAAAAGTGGCTGCGATTGTTTTCTCCTTTCCTTGGGAGTCTCAGGATGTCTCTCTTCTTCAGCTCCATCTGCTTCTTATAGTCATGCATTTTGGCTCAGCTTATTTTAGTTAAAACGCCACAAAAATCATTTAAAGAGGTTGTCATAACAATAAATTTTTTTTTGTTATGAGATCCACTTGCCTAATGTTGGTGATGTTAGAAGTTTTTCATTTCATTTTGATGAATTTCAAACATTTGACTCTAACTAAAATGTTTTTGGTTCATAAAAATGACAGTTTTGTTCACAAAAATATGAAAATGTACTCTACCATTCAAAAGTTTGGGGTTAGTAAGATTTTTTTTTTCTTTAACTGATACTTTTATTCACCAGGGGTGCATTAAATTGATCAAATTTAAAATCTTACAAAACAATTTGTTTTCAAATATATGCTTTTCATTTGAACTTTCTATTTATGAAAGAAAATGTGTAATGGTTTCCACAAAAATATTAAGCAGCACAACTGTTTTCAACAACAACAATTATAATAAGAAATGTTTGTGCAGCAAATCAGCATATTAGAATGATTTCTGAAGGATCA